ACTATAAATAACTAAGTTTCATTCACATTCTACAAATAGACATTATAAAATTTATAAGCACTGAATATATAACCAATATCCAACAAAAAGAAACTACAATAAAAGCGACATCTCTAACTCTATTGTTACCTTCATCTTGCCTAAAAATCACTCTCATGACACCATATATAAAGCTGTAACAATTTTGTATACAACAGAAGTCTGGCCACCCTGTACAAGGAAACTGCAAGAAATAATAACTTTCAATTATTTTTCAGAAGTGTCCTTCAGTTTTCACCCTCCTCTGCGATGCTAAAGATCATCCAGATATGTGCCTCCAACCTGGTGTATATACTATCCCCATTATGGATCACAGAGCCAACTGCAACTTAGAATACATGGTTCTACAGGGTGACTTTTAAACACCCATCTCAAAGAACATCAGACTTCCATCATGAAAGGACTGGCTAACACCACATTAGCAACCTTTGCCTCCAACCCTAACACAGATATACATTTTGACCATGCACACCTTGTACATAGCATCTCCCAGAAAGAACAGCTTAGATATTTAGAACAATCTGAAATTTTGAAAGCTGTGAGAATAAATGTGGCTATCAACTTTAAAGATTAGACTCTTTCCTCTTGCCTGGAAGTCAACCTAAGAAGCTTAATCTTACAACCCCCTATCTCCTCTCCCTCTCTCACATCACCCTCTATTAACACATGGATGGCAATCACCTATTCCTAATAACTTTTCCATTTGTTTTAACAAGTGCGAAGGTCCGTTAAACTGATTACGCCCATTAAGCACAGATCAAAACGTTTCATTTTCTAGTAGTTTCTTTTTGTTGAATATTGGTTATATGTGCAGTGTTTATTAATGTATATCCAGAATTTAATAGTTTAACTTATAAAATTTATTTAACATGAAGTAAATATAGCAAAAGACAACTTTTCTGTTTATAAGAAATAAAACAGTAACTATAAAATACATTATAAAATGTGAAAGGAAATAAAATTGCACAAATATTAACAAGTAGCATGAGTTTTGCTTTATTTAAATATGGTACAAAGTTCCATTAATTTCTCTTATAGCATTATGATGATTATTATAAATAGTTTTTCATTTTTTTTCCATCAAAAATCATAAAACTTTTAGCTATATTTCTTTATATTTTCTAAACAAATTAAAATAATTATAATTTTACAGCTAAAATTTAGACTTTTAACAAAAATGCATTTTTAGTAGAGGTTCAAAATTTTAAATTATATTAAAAAACACAGTAATTATTATCATCAAATTTTTCATTTCTATTTATAAAACTTAAATAATTACATGATGCCATGTTTATTGGTATAAAAATTTGATCTTTAATAAAATATATCTTTCTTAATTTTCAAAAATACAAATTCTAGATCAACTATTATATTTACTCTCAGACTTAATAAATGTTATAAGAAATAGATAAGTTAATCCAAATAAATTATGCAAATAAAATTTCAAGATAAAAATACTAATACTAATTTCATTTTTCATATTATCATTATCATTTGAAAGAAAAATTATTGTAAAAAGTTTACAGAATGTAATATATAATAATAACAAATTTTTTAATATATTTCTTATATATAATTACTGAATTTAACTCCTTTTTTTCAAGTGCTGCATATATTGTTTTGTAATTTGGAAATAACAACGCTGCATTAAGTATAAAGCTGTTTTCAATAAATTATCTCTTAAAATTACATATTTATCCAGAAGTTATAAATGGATGTTTGAATTTGAATTAAAGTGAATTTTTGAAATTTATTATCAGAGTAACACTTGAAATATTAAGACAGCACAAATACTTTTATTGTGGAACAAAAGTACAGTGGTAGCTCATATTCATAATTTAATTAATTTCAGGAGGTTGTTTAAACTCTGAATTGTTTGAAGCCTAAATCAATTTTTCCTATTAAAAATAATGAAAAGTGAATTAATCCATTTCCAGACCCTAAACTATTCTCAATTTGAGAAACAAACAGCAAATACACATAATTTAATATAAAAATAACACAATTAAATGCCTTAAATAATAAATTAAAACATGAGAACAATAACTAAAATATGTAAGTACTGTACAATAAAATAAAAATTGCATCTACTGTACCATAATGAGGAGTTATTTCTTAAGATCACTATGCAGCTGCTTGACTTTCTCACAAATAATCCTCTTAGAGATAATATCACCAGTCAATTATTTTTCATTTATCCACACTAAGAAGAATTTTTCATCTCCTCAATAACATGTGATCTCTTAAGAGGTGAACATTTTCACATCTTCAGCCATGTTTTTTTGCTTTTATTGCTTTCTTGTTGTTAAGAATGATGCACATTGTTGACTTTGACATTTTGAACATAGCTGCCAGATCTTCCACATGCTTCATGATAAGTTCCTTTTTCACCTCAATTGTTGATACTATAACCTTCCTCTTAGACTTCATTGTTTCCACACTTTTCTTGGATGCCATTGTCAATAGGTAGGAATTATTGGGTTGTTCGGAAAGTAAGCTCGTTTTTTTTCGGTGGAAATAAACACAATATTTTTATAATAAATAAATATTTTATTGAATTATATATCAACCATTTTGGTCAAATACCTGTTGTCATCGTTTCTGGTAGTAGCATGATTTCACATTCATAAAAGTTTTGATTGTTGCTTACAAAACACTGATCCAAGTGATTTTTGACATTGTCATTTCAAGTAAATGTCTTACAGTTAAAAAAAATTTGTATAGACTGGAACAAGTAATAATCTGAGTGTGCTTGATCTGAAGAATGTGGTTGTTGTGATAGCACGTCCCATCTAAGTTAAAACAGTTTCTGACGAGTTACCAAACTTGTGTGAAATTTTACATTATCATGGTAAAACACTACACCTGCTTTGTTGATCAATTCTGGCCGCTTTTTCTGTTTGATGATATTACTCAATTTGTTTACTCTATGGCAGTACACTTTTGAATCAATTGTTAAATTGTCTGGTAAAAGCTCCAAAAAAAATTTTTTCTTAAAATCCCACCAAAGAGAGCATCTCTCTTTAAGAACATGTGGAACACAGATAACAAGCTTTCAAACGAAACCAATTTGTTTCAAGTAATCATAAACTGTTCAGTTTGACAAATTTAATCTATTAGTGATTTCACGTGTTGTTATTTGGCAGTTTGCTTCAATCAGTACCTTTATTTTATTTTCATTGGCTCCAACTGGCCATCCAGAACATGGTGCATCTTCAATATTGAAATTGCCAGAACGAAATTTTGTAAACCAGTTTTGGCAGTGTCATTCTGTCAATACATCTTCTCCATACACATCACACAATTTTTTTCTCACTTGAACAGCATTCTTACCTTTTCGGTAATAAAAGAGCAAAATATGCTGAAAATGCTGCTTTCAATCTTTCATATTTGATGGGACACAAAAAATAAACAATTGTACAAAATCAAACAAAATTTTTTACAAATAAGCCTTAAAATGCTACTGTCAAAATATATAATGATAATACAGTTTAGAATGAAAATGGCGGGAAAAATACAACTAATCCATCTGGTGGTAAAAAAAAAATGAAATTACTTTCCGAACAGCCTAATATACAGTAATACCTCGAACTTACGCGATAGGTGGGACCGAGTGGTAACCGCGTAAGTCGGGGTATAATTTCTCATATAAATACATACAAATAATTTTTAATTGGGGCCGGAGACTAAAGAAAACAATAGTTTAGAAAAAAATGTTTAATAAAATCTTAGATAATACATATGTATAACAAATTAGGCCTATATTATTTTACAATTTTTCACATTTACTTGATTATTACGCCATAATTTTAACATTGTTTCCATCTCAGCGATAATACTGTGACGTTTACGAATGATGCTTGAATTTAAAGATTGAGCATTTTTCACAGCTTCGAGAATTTTTTCTTTGCCTTTTATAATTGTTCTGACCGACAATTCCGGTAGATCAAACTTCTTTGCCAATTCACAAATTTTCATTTTTGTATCGAAGTCTTTAATAATGGGTACGTTTGTAAAGTCTAATGAAATAGGAATAACGATGACGTCATTCTCATTTAACTCGTTCAACTTTACAAACATACCCAATGTTAACTTTACATTCCAAAGATAAAGTTTTTCTTTTCTTGTTTGGTGCGGAATAATTAGTTCTACTTCGTTTGGATGACATAGTAGAGTCTCTCAAGTCTCCGTAGATATAACAAACACAGAAATAAATAACACAAAATAAATTGTAGCTATGTGTGGATTCTGCGCGACACATCCGAACATTTAAGCTGAACAATAGTGTGGGGGGGAGTGAGTAATCAAGGGTTGTGTGGCACTCAAACAAAAGACGAATCGACGAGATTTGAAAATCGCGTAACTCCAGGTTCGCGTAAGTCGGGGTATTACTGTATATACAAATATATTTTTGATGTGTTTCGTTATATATAAATATAGCCAAACACAAGTGAAAAGAACACTGAAAACACGAGTGTAGTGCAAGAGATGTTTTTATAGCAAGAACAAGCACCAACTTGGGCCTTACTTTTACTTTTATACAACAAATGCATTTTTTCACTGCATGTACTGTACAAGAGGCTCATATAAGTATTCTTATGTATTACTATATAATTACATCACTATATTTTATTTATTTTATATGTGTATACTATATTATATTATATAGAAATATTATTATAAGTGTGTGTATTTTTAAAGACTGAGTGTGCATGCTATTATATGACATCAATAACATTACATATATTCACTTTTAAAATTGAATGAAGGATGAATGATAACAGTATAAATTATGTTAATAAAAGGTTTAACAGAAAAATACATTTTATTGAAGTATAAAAATTTCTTATTTAAAATATTTTATAATATAAAGAAAATACTATTTATCAAAATGTATTAGAATATCAATTAATAATTCATTGATATTTATTATTTACAATATAATGTTTAAATTATTTCAGTATAAACCTCCTGGTACGAGAAAGTTGCATGATATCTTGGGAGTAGAAACTGGAGGACCTGGAGGTAGACGTCTTGGTGAACCAGGGCATACAGTTTCTGATTATCTAAAATTTAAAGATCTGGTTCTGCGAATGCTGGAATATGATCCCAAAACGAGGATTACACCACACCATGCACTTCAACATAGTTTCTTCAAGAGAACTACCGATGAAAGCACTAATACATCCCATAGTGCTAGCACTAGTCCTGCTATGGAACAAAGTTCTGTTGTTACTCCCGTGGTAGGAGGAAATACAGGAAGTGGTAATTCTAGTTCAAGTTCTGGGAGTTCAAGTAAGTATTAAATAACTTTTTAAACAACAGTATTTATTATGAAAGTGTGTCATAATTTAAATAATCATATATAATCTTTTTTCCTCATTAATTAATTTATAACTGTAAAATAATATTTAATGTTATGAAACACAATTAGTTAACAGATTTATATTTTTTAATTCATTTCATTTTATTCTACTACATATTATAGTTAAATGGTATCAGTTTTCAATGATTTTTTTAATTCTTAAGTAATCACATGGTGTCTGTGAGATGATACAGCACATGATTTTCAGAATTTCTTATATTTAAAATTTTGTAAAAAATTCTGAAAAAATTTCTACTTTCTAACTTTTCAATCTGGAAGATGTGAACTGTTTTCACTGCACAAATACCTTTTGAAGAAAAATGCTGGTATCTGAGAGATGCTTGTGACTCTTTTTGTATAATAACCATTATAGGAAAATTATGCTTATGACAGTTACTTTGAATGAGTGTAACTGAACACAATAGCAATTTGAAACAAATTTATTCTTACAAAAATGCTGTTCCTTATGTTCTCTGCTATTTCTTCATTGCTGAAAAACAGAAAGAAGTTCCAATTCATTTTAAATGGAGCTCTGCACTGCATGTGACAAGCGAACATTTTACATATCGTGTCACACACAACTTTGTACAACAAAAATATAACTTTAATAATGCAAACTCTTCAAATTGTAAAACTTTTGTTCATTTCATAAAAGTATTACTCAGGTATCAAGATGAATTCATTTATTTAATAAAACTCTCAAGATTTTTTACAAAGTTAGTAATTTAGGCAGTTGACATTATACAATAAATTGTCAAATTTTTGATAGTCCATGCATTACTTCTTTGATCACTTCATTTCTCATATAGAAAACATTCTTGGTTAAAACTCAGCAAGAAATTTTGATACTTTCTCTAATATTTTGAGTGATATTAATTTTTGAAGTAAGATAAATGATTTTTGATAACTACATAACTTTTGCATTAAAAAAATTGAAAATAAAATTAAAATAATCACATCTGACAAAATTGTTTGTTAAATGTTAAAGAAAACATTCTTCTGAATACAATAAAACAGATAATATCTTTTCAGATAATATGCCTTTTGATTAATCCAGACAATATAAAATTATAATTAACATGTTCAATAATATAGAACACTATGATTAAATAAGATGCTTTAGTAGTTATTTTAATCAATCAGCATTCAAAATGAGCAGAACTAGCCTTTATAAATGCTTCCAAGTTGTGGGGGCCTTCTGACAAGACTTTAATCATCAAAATTATCATTAAAATTAAGTAGAGGGTGTGGGGATCATATTAAAAAAAAAAAAGTTAAAGTTGGCATGTGGGAAACAGTACTGAATATTATTATTGGCTTAATTTAAATAATTTTAAAAATGAGCCCATAAAACTTTGTTGAAATATTACTGACGATGTCCTCTAACCTATAATACTAAAGCTTTCCGTGGATGTCTCACCATGGGCCCACATTGGCCTGCCAAATCCTGCATGTACTTTGCTGGGCAATATCTCACTAACTAATGGTCCTAGGACCACCAAAATTTGGAACAGTAATCACAATAAGTATACCATTGAGGTCCCATCGTGAAGTTTGAACATTTCAGTCTGCTATAACTCCTGAAAAAAGGGTGCTATATCCGTGACATTGACATCAACATGATCCTCATGACATATGCTTTCCAAAAATATATCACATCGCTAGTATAAAGTAAACTCCAGGGTGAAAGTATGCATGAAGCAGGATCCCAAACAACACACGTCCTCTCTGTTCAATGACTGATGATGTGTAGAGCATGTTAAAGTAAATGATGAGAAACATGTACATTGACATGCTGCAGATGTTTGATATTTCATGTTTCAGCAAGATGATGCTCCAGCACATATCCATTGAGATGTTATATTCCTTTGGAATGAGACTTTCCTGGATATTGGTTTGACTGAGGAACCAGAAATCTATGTAGTTGGGACTGTTATGTTTCCAGATATGATTCCATTGATCTTTTTTGTATGGGGTTTTATTAAAGAGTGTTTAGCAGAAAAAAATTCCAGATTTGGACAATTTAAAACAGTATATCATTTAGCAGTTGCTCTAATAATGTTTCAGGTGCTGGAAAATATATAGCAAAAGTTTGTGTATCATTTTGACATTGTGAACTCTGCGAGACACGTGGTCTGTGGTTTTAAAAGAAGATGAATGAAACAAAGGGAAGGGATAATGAATAGTCAGTAGAAACATGTATCTTGACAAACAAAGGTTTATTGGAGACAAAAACACAGTACAATATTAATGCTAATACACAGTTCAATAATGGAAACCAATCATGTCACAGTATTAGTTCTACTCGATCATCCTCCTTCCAAATTTCCTTCCTAAACGCAAGGCCCTGCTTTGCCCGAGAAGCAGTTCAAATCCGATGACAGAAATTTAACACCAAGTAAAATTTGGGAAACAGAGTACACGATCAAACTTACAAACTTTCTTTTGTAACAAGACAATCGTTGATGATTTTTACACTATAGTTAGTCCTCTTCCTTTTAAGTCAGTAATTCCCTCTTCCTTACTAGTTATTCCTTCGATGGAAATGGATTTTCCTTTCAGCATTGTAACTTTCTTAATCCTGGCAACAGTTGATTCTCCTCTCTTCTGTTCTATTTCTAACTGCTTGCTACGTATGTCCTTCAGTCCATGACGCACACTCATGAAGAGAAAAAGGTCCTTTCACATCTGTTATACACGTTTTTATATCTCCCCGCTAACCCACGTGATCCTGTCACAGACCAATCATCACATTGAACAACCCAGCCATCAGATAACAGATGGTATCGAGGAAGGAAACAGAAAAGGATCTGTACAAAAACATACACACATAAATGAAAAACAATGAAGATAAGAAAAAATATAATAATACATAATAGCCACGAAGTGCTACAACATCTATCAAGCTACAAAAGGCTCCCACATTGAACTTTACTGAAACTTGTGAAAATTAGATGAGTTGCTCCGTATAATATCAAAAAAGTTATTTTAATAAACCTTATAGGTACTGAGCTATACATGTATATTTTAGTCTAAATTATATATACACCCTACTGTATATATAATTTATAAGGTAAATAATGGATTATATTAGTAGTTTTAATACAGTGTTTAAGACTTAATATTTATAATTACAGTAGATTTCATACAGAAAATAAAGCAATTTTTTAAATTCAAGTAGATGATGATAAATTCAGTTTTAAGTTAATGATTAAAAAGATTATTAAATTTTTCAATTACATTGGATATGTCTGAAATTGAATTTCAAATAAATTATCTAATAAAATACTTACCAAAATTTAAAAATTATTAAAAATGATAACAACAAAAAAGGTTTTTATTAGGTGAAGTGTCTTACTTTTATTAAATTAAAATTAAGAATGAATTCATCAATAGTAATAGAATTGTGATATATTATATTAAGCTTTATTTTACGTTGCATAAAATTTCAAAAAAGAACTAAAACATTCTTCTTCTTTTTTTTTTTTTTTCATATTTTAGCGTCCTCAGCACCACCTCATAGTGCAGGAAGAGCTCGATCTGATCCTACTCATCAGCATCATGGACAAATTCAGCATAGTTACACTCAAACTTCTGGATCTTATAGCATGCATTTTGGTGGAAGTATTACAGCAACTACTACAGTTGGATCATCAGCTGCCATGGAATGTGAAAGTCCCATTACAAACGTTTCAGGTGGAACAACTATATATCGTAGCTCACAAAAAGTTGCTAATTGGGGAGTTGGCACAGTTGTTTCTACAGTTACAACTTCACCCTTAGCTGGGGCAACAGGAAGTGTAAGTATTGGACAACATACACATTGTAATATACCAACATCAAGTCGTCATGGAGGAGGAGGAAATCATAGTCATGTGCATAGTCATGTGTATCGACGACATATTCATCATTCATCACAGCAATCTCAAACAAACTTGCAGGGTCAGATAGGAATATCATCGTCCACTTCCCATGCAGTCACTATGGGATTGGAATCCCTCCAGTCTTATCAACCACCACAAGGTGTTGCCATCAGCTCCAGTAGGGGTACTCACCCTTCCTCTTCAGTTCCCGCGTCTTCCGAAGTTATGCCAATGGATGTTAACACCAGTATGAGTATATATCCTGTATCTTCTCCTTTAGAATGTACCCAAACTGGTTCCTTAAATATCCAACTCAGTGGATATCAACCACTTTCTTATACTGGTACAGTGTATGGTGGTCAAGGTACAGTTGCACCTCCGTATCTCAGTACGAACTTCTCTCAAGTTGAACCAAATCCTCCTTCCTCCTCCTCCTCCACATCACAGCCTTCCAGTTTAGTATCACCAGAGATGTCATCACAAAAACAGACCTCAGATAGGGACGACTCTCCAATGGTGGGTGTGTGTGTAGAGCAGAATACTGTAGCCAGTCATTGACCCCCTTGTAATCTAGCTAGAGGTAAACCTTCTTCTGGCAAATGAATATTTAGAAGTTGGCACATTTTCATTTAAAGTGACATGCTACATTTTAAAAAATAGCTGTCCCAATAATTAATTGACATCATTGACTTCTGACAGAAGATTCTCTTAACAGCTGTGTGGCATTGTCATTATTACTATAAGAAAAACTGGAAATGTGACTTGTAGTTTTTGCTGTTTGCCACAACTGCCATTTGCTCATTTCTCTTTCACCTGATGCTGCATGGTGTGAAAATATAAGAAATAATAAATCATAAATCATAAATCAAGTGAAACAACATACTTCATGGCCTTCAGAAAGAAGCAGTGGCACTACAAAAAGTGTTTACAAGAATATTCATCCCATTCAGTCTGCTTACTGCTGTCTCATAATAAAAACTGAATTAACAAATTAACAGCAGATGCCCAAGTCCACATACCTTCTTCCTGATAGTTCCAATTGATTCTGTATTAATCTCTGCATTCCGAATATGCTCTGAGGATATGCTACACTGGACTTGTGCAGCACCAAGTAATAAAGTGTATTTATAAACTAAACTCTTGCATAATGGGCAGTTATTCAAGCAACAGGTGAGGAGGAAGCTGTCCGTGCCCAATTGGGCATAGTCATGATTATTTGACGGTTGGGTAGGGACAACATTATTGTATATATATCCTAATGTGCTGCAATTTGACTCCCTATTTATTGTCCTCGCTTTCCAAACACACCATCATCTTTGCTGTGCAATCTTTCCAGTTGCCCACAAGTGGGAATATAATAATTGGTTGTATATGTTTTAAGTGTTGCAGGACTCTTTCTTGCTGTGTACAGAACAACAAGGAGGAAAAGCTAGAGAAGGTTACCAGATTATCTCCCTGTAGCCAAACTAGCAGGCACTGTTTATGATGAACTATCCCAGCAGTGGGCACATCCAATATCCTTCCCACTGGATGTAAATAGTTCTGCCTTTTGACAGGCTGCTGTGACCATACCCTTCACTGTCACCACTACCTCCACTCAAAAAAGGGAAAAAAATACAAAAAAATTGTTAAAACCAATATAGATCCATGTTTTTGGTATGATGTTCTGTCTCTGTCAGCTATCCTCATTAGTATTATTGTTGTTACCAGGGTGGAAAAAAACTGCAGCCATTCCATAGACCAGACCTCATTTTTACATTTCAGGGAAGTTCACTTCAATCTTGATACTTTTTCCTGTTGTAACAGTGGAACAGTTTCATTTAATTTGGTTACTTAAAAAACTGTGCACAAAACAAAATAGTTTAGATTTTTCCTGTTTAGATATTCCCAATTATTTTTAAACCAGACTGAAATTTCCAATTACAATGCTTGGTCACAGGAGTAATCTCAGTTACATAACCTTCCAGCCTTTATAACATATTTGGCAGTGTTTTGTACATTTTAGTTCCTTACCTCCTTGAGCAGAGGTATTTCAACTATTGCATTTTTACTTTGTTTTTAAACCCTGGATGTTTTTAACAGACAAGTCATGTCATTCACAGGTAATTACCACAAATAGCTCCTGTAACATATTATCATGCTACTTTCTTGTGTGTGTAGTAACTCTTGAACTTGTTAATTAAACAGTATGTAATCCCTTAATATTTTGTGGTCTGTTTTCTTTTCAACAGTATTTTTGTGAGTTAGTCATTTTATTTTAAAAAATTACATAAAAGTAAAAACATAAATGTATTTACACATTATTTTTAACAAAAGTGATTTAATTTATTTGGCTTTTATTAACTATATAGCCATTTAAAACACATATTCACATTTTGTAACATACAAAACAGAGATTTTTATTCAGATAAATGTAATTTTATTCTTATAATTATTTATTAATATATATATAGAAGATTTATAATTTAAAGTAAAAATAATTTACTAAAATTTACTTTTATTAATATCAGAACTTAAATCAAATACCATAATGTAAGATTATGTTGGTAACTTGATGATGATAAAATATAACAACAAAATTTATCATGTTTCATTTATATTTTTATTTTGTAAGAGTAAAGCATAAATTTCACATAATGAATATAGCCATTAATGATTTGTTATTTTTATTTTTCAAAGTAAATATATATAAATATTTACTTCATAAAATCAATTAAATTAATTCAAGAAACTTTTATTTTACATTAAAGATGATATTACAAAATAGGAATTTTTTTTATCACAGAAAATTCAGTTTTGAGTTTTGAAAGTACAGGTAACCCCTGTATAACACGGTAGTTACGTTCCAAAAAATTACCGTGTTATGCGAATCCGTGTTATACGAAACAAAGAACTAATACGAAAAGGAGGGTTAGGTTCCAAAAATTAAAAAACATGCTACTATATTTTCATAATTAAGATAAATATCTTCATTAAAATTTTTTTAAGTGATACATATTAATATAAATTAAACAATGTTTTCTTCGTCATCACTAAAAACACTATTAATTAACCGAGAGCGTTTTCTTTTTGGCAAGTTATCCTTATCCTCTGAGCATTTTTCTGCATTATCTTCAGATCCATGCTTTACCTTTTGCAAAATGTATGTAATTTTAGATTGCTTGCTTCTAGTTAAAAGGTCTTTATAAATTTCCTTATATGGTGCTAAGCACTTATGAAGAATAAAGCAAGTATGGAATAAGGGAAAAACATTCGGCAACATCAGAAGCAGAAGCGTCGCGATCTGGCAACATTGAAACAAGTTTCGAGAAGGACCACGTGTATCGACAGAAGGCGAGAAGAGAAAATTTACATACTTAAGTACTAATAGTTCACGAAAATAATAATTTTCGTGAACTATTATTAGTTAAGTATGTAAAAATTTATTACATTTCCTGTTGTACGAGGGTTTTACCCAATTCTCGAACCGTGTCAGAGTGAATCCGTGCTATAAAAGTACCGTGTTATACGGAGGATGGTACCAATTCTCGAACCGTGCTAGAGCGAATCCGTGCTATAGAAGTGCCGTGTTATACAGGGGTTACCTGTATATATATTAATAATATATGGGAGGAAAATCTATTCAAACTGTAATGTATCTAACACTTATTAAAGTTGTAACATCCTATATAACAATCTATACATAATCATAAAACTATCAATAATATAAACTGTAGCAAAAATATTTTATAATGATTACTTGGTAACATATTCATTCATATCTCTACTGAAATTAACAGATAATATTGTATAGTAAAGTTGAAATAATACTTTTTCATTTCAAATACTGCCAAATGTTTATTAAATGTGAAGAGATATTTTATTTAGAATTTTAGAATATTTATTAAATGATCTCAGTAATTACACAGAAAAGATAACAGTTTTACTGTTGTGAACAATTAACACAACAGTAAAACAAAACAATGTTTCAATTCTGGGTTTTTATGTTTTGAAAGTGTAATTACAATCAATACCATCAATGTATTAAAAATAACTAAAATTATCATATTTTCATGCAACTAATCTGCAGAAAATTGCTAGAACAAAAAATAAAAATGTTTGCATAACCCCACCCCACTAGGTATTCTGTCCCTGTAGGAGTGACCATTGTTGCATAAACATGAATTTGTGATTGTACTGTAATTTAAAATAAGCATATAATCCATGCTTCCTTTCATACTATTTCAACCATAGATTAACCTGTCAGTTATATGAACAAAATTGTAGTTAAAATAAAAGTATAGTTGCAAATGTTGTCTTTTGAGTTTAAAGTTTATTTTAATGTTTAAGAAAATAAAATAAACACAGAAATACAAAATTTACTTGTTGGCATGTACAATACTTTTGATAAAATAATATCCCTTTAGAAATAATGTTTCCAATATTTTGTTATACTGTATTCAAAGCATTCTGAATGTTATGTCAACATACTATTCAGAATGTTTTCCATATTTCTAACTGAATATTAGAAAAACAACTCACACCTTGCTTTTTGGATGTGATTTGAGTTAGCAAGGTTTGCATTAAAATTCTCATTGATCTTCTTCTGGCTAATGTTCAATTATTGCAATCTAAATCCAAATTTACTTTTTATTTGGAAAACTATGTATATTTTAGACATGGATCAATGCAATCATACTATCTTGTTTCTCCTACAATATCAGTTTCTCTTTTTATAACCTTCTTAAATAATAATAAAAATAAAATTATTCTGATGGGGATTGATAGTATTAATGTTTTATATTTTTGTTTACTTCTGCTTGATATTAACATTGTAATTTTTAAATAATTTATATATTTTTTTATTTGAAACAATTATGTAATGTTTTATTTTGCCAGTTTTAAAAATATTTCATTTTATTTACTTGAAGAAGATATTATTATTTTACTGTATACTTGCCATTAATTAAAGTTGTTTGTGTATTGATGTTTATTATATTTTCTTGGGCATTAAAATAATCTTTAATATCAAAAAATAATATTTGCAACTCTATTTTATTAGTTCCATTGATTTTAGTTAATTAAAAACACACTAGCATGAACAAAATTAAGCCTTAATAACTAAGCAGCGAAGCTAATAATAACTTATAAATAACCCATATTTATGAAAATGTTTTACTTATTATAAGTATAAAACATTGAAATTAATCTTCACATATAATTTTAAAAATAATATCAAGCCATTGTCACTTAACATTGTATATGATGATTATTAACATTGTAAGTGATGATTACATTTTGTAAAGTCAATATACAAAAATTTCCAATTTCAACTCCTCATAAAAGCTCGATCTGTATATATATATTGATAACACATCTCCACTGAAACTGAAACCAATACTTTACAAAGAAGCAGTGTGTAAGTAGATCTCACTGGGTTGCCTGTGGAGTCTACAATTCATTCCTCAAAAGGATCACCCATTAACTTCCTCTATGGACTTTGCATGAATTCATGGAAAGGGTTAATTAACAAAGGGAAAGGAAGGTCTTTTCATAGGGATAGCAGACACAAATAGACTTCACTTTTGACTCAGACTTGGAGTTGGAGACAGCTATTCATTTGCTCCCATAGCAACTACTCTTTAAGTTTGATTTTTGAATAATAACCCTTGGTTATATACAAAATATACATATACAGATAAATATTATTAAAAATAATATAAAAAGTAAACTAAATCTGTATATGTATTAAAAGCAAAATGTTCAGTCACCACCACACACAAATAATATAAATTTAAAAATTAATTTGATTTACTATTTGAAAATTTCAAAACAACTTTTAAATGGTTTTTAAACACGTTTTAATTTTCAATTGATTTGATTTTAATTAGTTTTGATTTTATTTTTTATTTTGGTTTTGTTTTTGGTGTAAAGGCCAGAATTTTAATTATTTTATTATTTTTAGTTTTAATTAATTTTTGGTTTAATTTGTTTAATATTAATTTAGTTTTAGTTTTTATAATTATTTTTTATTATTATTTATTTAATTTTTCCTGCATTTTTTGAACCCTTAATTACAATTTTTTAATTAATTGCAACTCTTTTACTTTTCTGGCTGTTATATGTAACAGAGCAAAAGTATGGCAAGTGGTCAAAAAATGATCCCCCCCATGATTTTTACATTTTTGGACTCAGGACACCTTGAAACGTTGAGAAATGCAAAAAAATTTTGGGGTGTTTTTTTGTACGTATGAATGTTGATGTGTGTATGGGGGGAGCAGAATTTTGTTCACCCTTTTTGCAGCTTAATAACTCCTGTGCTTTTTGTCACGGATCTTTTCTACTAAGCCACAATAGATTACCTTTCTCATTTTTTCCAGCAAATTTTTATTACAAAACAAATGTTTTTTGGCCTTCTTTAGTGTCTCAGGTTATCAAACAAAAAAAAATGAAAAGACTAGAAGATAAAAATAACTGAGCATTCCAAATTATAATGTTGAATGTTGTTTTAATCTATAAAGTTTTTTTAATTTTAAATTGTAATTACAGCACCAATAAGTATATCAAAATTGCATGTTTATAAATTAAATAGTAAATATTTAACATTATTAAGAAAGTATACAAAATTAAATAAAATTGATATATTACCACGTGATTGAAGGTAATTTGCATTGGGTATTGACAAAAATGTACATTTATTTGATTAGTTATTTTTACTTTCTCAGCTCTGTTATATATAACAGAGGAAAAGTATTATGATTGGTCAAAAAATGGCCCCCCAAGATTTTTACATTTTTGGACTTAGGTCTTCCAAACATTGTGAAATGCAAAAAAATTCAGGGGTGATTTCTGTATATACAGTAGGGCGTCGTTTATCCGAATCAATTGGGGATTGGGGTTGTTCAGATAACTTATTTTTCAGATAACCGATTACATACAAAAAAATATATTAACCTATCCCATATTGAAATTTTTCTCCATTGCGTATCACTTCGCTTTGATATTTCGTTGATGTTAAGCCTAACGTAAACTTTTTAAAATAATAATCGTGGCAATTGTATTGTTAAAATTATTTTTTTATTTTGTACAAAGAAAATAAATATATTGAAAAATATAAAAACCAAAAGAAATATACTTTAGAAGTTGATCTAGTATCAAAAACGTTCAATTCAGCATGACACACACGTCCAACATGCAGTCCACAGAAAAACACCACACAAAAG